TTTCTTGATCTTAGCCAGTCTGACTGGGGTAAGATGAAATCTTAAAGGGGTTTTAATTTGCATTTCCCTAATTATTAGTGTTGTTGAACATCTTTTTTTGTAATTATTTTTTTAATAAACTTCTTCTTTGAGACCTCTCTGTTTTCATTACAACATTGACATATTCAATAACAATTTCCAGAGCTAAGATGCATCTCTTTCAGAATTGGCTGTAAACTTTTAGGTTTACACATGAATTAATACAGTTATACATTATTGTACTCAGTATAAACCCTATAAAACCTAAAACTGAATGAGGTTTTAACCTTTAAAAAAGATCTCTATTTCATTTTAGAATCTACTGTTTCATACAGAAAAGCTCATTTTTAATGCAAATAACACTTAGATGTTTGTACATGCGTCTCTAATCTCTATGTATCTGATTATTACTAGTCACAGTCACTTACTTTCTAAGATCCTTGGCACCTGAGCATGAATGTAAAGTCATCAGGTAGATTTCAATGGTAATGTTTTTCACATCTACTATTTATTAAGGAGCAAATTTTTATGCTTTGAAGAATCATCATTATTTTTAATCATTATTTTTAAAATTTTTAATCACTTCATGATTAGAAGAAGCATTTCACTACAGCTTTAACATATTCAGTAACACACTCCAGAGCAAGAGTACATCTCTTTCACAAGTGGGTGCAAGTGTAACTTTCAAGGTTCACAGTTTAATTAATATAGTTATATAACATTGAACTCAGTATAAGCACTGTAAGACGTAAAACTGAATGAGTTTTTAACTTTTAAAAAAGATCTCCATTTCATTGTAGAATATATTTTTCCTTGCAGGAAGACTCATTGTTTTTGTTATTAACACTGAGATGTTGGCTCATGCATCTCTAATCTGTGTGTATCTATGACTAGTCACAATAGGTTACAGTTGGATCCTTGCCGCCTAGGCCTATGAAGTCATGGGGGGTTAGATTTCAGTGGTAATGTTTATCACCTCTACTAATTAGTGTGACATAAATTTCTATGCTTCCTCCTCAAATATAACACATTTTTGAAAATTTGTTGAATTTTTTTTTTTGT